ATTCCTGCCAAACGGATTCTTTTCCACGCGTCACGCGAACGCGATTTTCCCGAGGAAAATCATCTCGCCGTGGGACAAACGGCGTATGGCACAAGGCAGAACGCGAATCGGTCAAAGTTGCCTTTGAGAAAGCACAATGACACGCGCGAATTCCAAGGACCGTAGTCACAAGCCATTGAGCAGGTAGATCGAGTGCCAAGAACAAGATTTTGAAAGTCTCGCCGCGACGCTGGTACGATTAAGTTGGATAATGGCTTCCGAATGCCAACCACGCGAGGCGTTCATCTTCTTCCGCCAGTGAAACGGCAGTCGGGTTAAATTGAATCGACTTTGCTCACGAATTCACCTCATCGAGCGTTAACGCGCTTTCATCTTGACTTAATTATCCATCCCGCGGAGTTAATCGAACGTTAGTCTCGCCTCGAACACCACGATAGACCAGGGGTTCCATTTTCCATGTGGTTCCCTCGCGTTGGATCGCGACGTGATCGATCGGCGGTCGAACGACGATCGACGTCGTCCGCGAGGACGAATCGATCGGTCTAAGGTCGTTCTGGAGTCGAACGAAACGGCTAGATCGTTACGTGGAAGGTTGAGTAACGCGTTTCGTATACGAAAGTTCCTTCCCGTCACTCTCATTATCAGGTGTGTTGTGACTCGAGCCGGTATTAGGCAATCGGTATAGAGGCCAACGTTAACATTGGCCCAAATATTGGCCAGTGGCCCCGCGTGTACACTGTTCACGGTGTGCGACATTCGACGACCGGCACACGGCTCGCGATTGTCAGCCTCCTTCTCTGACTTTGAATCTGCCGGCTAACCGCCACGGCGATGTCGTTGACTGACACTGGCCCACTATTCGTGCGTTAACACCGAACCCGGGCCGGGTGGCTGGCTGACGCGGATCACGCTCGAGGATCACCTTCCCAGAAGCGATGGCTTCTGATCGCGGTTCTGCTTTCGGGAAGGTAAAAAGCGAGAGTACCCGGTCGTTTCGATCAACTCCGACCTTTGTTCGGAGCTCGTTCGAGCTTGTTCGGGCTAGATTTACTCGCGATTTCGGGACGCTCTGCTCTCCGAGCGAGGAACGGAGCAGCGGTGTTCTCGCAGAGATACGGAAACGGCAGGGGAACGTCATAGTTCTTCGACCGTTTCAACTTTCTCCTGAACGCTGCGCGCAAAGTCAGTGATTTAACTTTGCCACGTGAGGAAGTTTGAGGAGGAACGAATCGGTCGCGAGTTACGCTCGATAGAGAGCCGAGCAACGGCTGCTACACGCGGTTAATCTAATCTCGTATCGCGATCGTTCGTTCCCGATCGGGTGGAATCTTTGTCAACTGGCCAGGTGAAAAGCGAGAGTGATCGGGTACGGCAGTACGCCAGTGTTTTACGCAAACGCGTGCGGTCTGGCTGTCTTCGGGAAGCCGTACGCGAACCTCTGGCGTCAGAGACGAGGGAGAGAGGATATTTTTTTTTTTTTTAACCTCGTTAAATTGACTACGTTCTCGCAAGCACTTATATCTCCTTCGCTAATGGGGCAACGTCCCACGCGTGAGAGCGCGGCAGAGAGAAGCGGGAGAAAGAGGAACGGAAGTGGGGATACGGAGTCTTTGAGGTGCATTTATTTATATATTAGTCGAATCCATTACTTCTTTTCCGATGCACTGGGTCCGAGTGGCGGACGTGGCAAGTTTCGTGCGAGTTCTGTGTCCCGCGTCACAGCGACCCGACAAGGACGGGGACACGAGAAGGCGGTACCAGCAGAGGTTACCGAATTTATGGCTTGGAAGCCGGGCATACGACAAGAGCGAGCGAGATGGGGAGGGAGAGAGCAAGAGAGAGAGAGAGAGAGAGAGAGAGAGAGAGAAAGAACGCGTGAGAGGCCAGTGAAAGTTTATTAAGTCTAGTACGAAACACACGGATGACGAGGCGGCGCGAACGTGTGCCGTTTGCGCGCGGGGCTTTAGCCGTGCGATGCTTTAATGCGTGTGCAAACCGCGCTATCGGAAGGTGCGCGATTCTTTATGCGTCAGCTTTGAATGTCACGGAGTTAGCAGCGACCAGAACGCACCGTTCCTGTCTCTTTTTCTCTCCTTCGTGTCTCCGCGTAGAACCCGACCGGTCAGAAATTCACCGTCCACCGGTCGCACTTGAAACTCGTGCACAGCGACGAGCGTACATCGGGCAAAGAAGCGCGAAGGATACTTTTAATTGTATTCTCCGTTTGCATTATCCGTGGCTGCGCGATGACGACGCTCCGCGCGATAGCGATTCGTCGCGGGGAATAGAATTGCTGGCGCTTGAAAAATAGTCGAGAGGAGAAGGTTTCGGTCCGAGGATATGATGGCTTAATCTTTCGGTTCCTACTCAGGGTCGTTCGTTGCCGGTGAAGACGATTACAAGCAAGGTTCCTCCGTCTCTTTTCCACGCTCGCTGCGTCCCCACCTCTTCCTCTTTTCTCCGTCTTTCGTACGCCTGGCAAGTTCAGGCCCCTCGCACGAGGAATCAACGTGGGCCCAAAAGGCCCCCGAATATTTATGTCACGGCGAAGTCGTGCGGAGAGCCGAGACCTTGACTGTGTGCCGCAGGCAGCGGGCTCTTCGCTACTTTTAAATGTTAGAAATTTTTGCTTCGAATCCGTGAATCCACGCGAAGGTCGATCCTCGCTTCCTAAATCGTACGCTGCCTTCTCGACGCTTTGCATCGGACCACGTCACCGATACTCCCCGCGTTCCAATCGTATTTTTAATAATCTCGTTACTCGATCGTCCAGCTATTCCGCGAAGGATACTCGAGGCGAAGGAAAAATCCGTACCAATTAAAAGCTTCGTTATATATATATTTTTTCCCCCCGGTTTCTTCTTTTTTTTTTTCATTCAATTAAGAGACCGAGCCGAGATATTTCTTACGAGAGGCAGGCTGACTCAGCCCGGAAGCGCTGCACGTCTTCGTCCTCGGCGGGAAACCACGGAAAACGCGCGAAAGTCGCGTCGAGGACGGTTGCGCGGTATGGTAGCCGGTTAGAAGAAAAGACTTGCACTTTCGTTAGAAAGTCTCGGGAATCGACTCCGCCATCCGTGGCAGCCATCGAGAGAACCTAACCGGTGAACGTGGATTAACGCTGCCTGTCTGACCAAACTCGGAGTCCCACTACTCGGTTTACCCTTAGCCCTACATACGCTCGATTCCGCGTTTGCCTTTTCGTTCTCGCCGCAACGACGCCGTGTTTTTCGCCTCACTCGAGGGGAGGGGGAAAAGAATAAATAAATAAATAGGAAGAAAAGAGAAGGCGGGGAATTTTTCTGTCGTTTACGAAAGGTAGGCTTACGCGACTTCGCAACGACACCGGAGATAACGCAACCGATCGCTTTGCAACGAATTCACCGCGCCTACCTTCTAATGTTAATTGCGGCAATTTGCGGAACGCAATGATAACCGCGTTTGAACAATCACCGCTTTCGTATCGTATCGGCGCGTACGGTCATTAATAGCTCTTAATCTTGCATTCACTCGCGCATCGCGTTGTACGCAGCGATAACGAGACGATCGCGTCCTTTGGATCGCATTTCCGTTAGATATAAATTCACCGGGCGAAGAAAAGGAAAATTTATGCCGCGTTCGCGTGCGAATCGGCAGCCCGGCGAAGCTGTCGAACGAAAGCTACGCCTGGTTTCCGTGTGCCGCGTAAAGAGTTTCGTACACGAGCGAGACGCACCGGCGAAAAACAGGGATCTATGGACTCGGTCTGATTTTCAAGCGGATTTCGATAGAGCGAGCGGCGCTGCGCGTTTCGTTCCGTTCGTCGTAATAACAAGGCGTGTAAATAGTCATTTGAATGCCAACGCGTTCTGCACATGCTTAGAGAGAACGTACGTCGGTGGAGGAAGACATTGTGCGCCTTGTTGCATTCAGTCGCACGGTGGTTACATTCTTGTACACCCTCGCGTCCATGAAGACATATATTCTCCGCGTACATACGTGCGATAGACACAGAACGCTAGAGTGCCCCTTGAATATAGAACAAATTACATACGGAGCTTATATTCTCTCTCTCTCTCTCTCTCTCTCTCTCGCTCGACTCGACTCGGCTAAACTTCTCGCGTGTACACGTGCGGATCTATGTATATTCGTAGCACGGATGCGATATCGCGTTTACAGTTGACCGTGTTGCGCCAAGTCTCCGCGGGACGACTTTTCCGTCTATTCTCGATTCGAATTCGTCGTTTCCCCGCGAATCCGACGTCTCCGTCGAATGCCGATCGGCGATGGAGGTACGCGCGCGACGAGACGCGCGAAACTGCGACGGATAAGCGGGAAAGGGAAGAGAGGAAAAAGGGAAAGGAAAAAATAAAAAAAAAAAAAAAAAAAAAAAAAAAAAAAAAAGAGGAGAGAAAAAAGAGACACGCGATTCCACTTTCTCGTTAGCTCGGCGCTCGCGATTCCGGTTATAAAATAGTCCCGCGAAATGCTTCCGTGCGACAGCGATACACGGACGATACACGAGATCGGCGAAGCGCTCTAGAGAGGCTAGAATCGTGTGCGCGCGCTCGCGAGCCCGCACACGCGAGAAACGGAGCGACAACGGTCGTTCCGCCGGTGTGTGCCGTTCGCAACGTGTAGATACGCGCGTGCATGCGCCTGCTGGCTGTGCGAGAGTGTGCGACTCGGTGGCCGTGGCTATGGCCTTACGAACCCCCACCAGCCGGTCGCTCCGAATCCACACGGCGTGTGTACCCCCCGTACTCTATGTACATAGATCCCTAGAGTCCGAGAAAGACGCGAGATCGGCGAAGTGAGAGGAAGACGGACGGTGGGAGTGCGAGAGAGAGGGATTGAGGGAGAGTACGTTAGCGCGAAAGAGGAAGAAGAAGCGCTAAGCGAGCTAGAAGGAGTGGAATGGCAGGGGGGGAACGGCGAGGGGTACGGCGAGGGGGAGGGGGAGGAGGGAGAGTGTCGCGAGCGTGTCTAACCTAGGATAGTGGCGTTTAGTGGCGGCTAGGCTAGGCAAACCGAGGCTCGCTGCTCGCGCGTTACGTTCAGTGTTCCTTCGCGCTTCGGCCAAAGACTCGTATACGCCTCGTGTCACGCAACCCGTCTTCTTTCCCCTTCGCTACGAACCCCTCCGGGAGAGCAGGAGAAAGGATTTCGAGAGAGCCCGCCGAGTCGAAGAGGAAAAGAGACCACCGCGAAACGCGAAGCATCGCGAGCGCATAATCATACGCCACCATTAAGCAGCACGAGCTTCCTGAATTTCCCGCGGTCGACGGTGCACCACGACTGCTGCGCGCGTCGTCACTCTGCGCCGACCGGACGATTTCGACTCGAGCCGTGTGTGTCGTCGTTGTCGTCGTCGCGCGGCATTCGACTACGTTCGATTGCACCTTCGAAATCGTCGCTGCTCGTTTTACATTTGGATCTGTCGCAACTATGGCTGCTTCCTCCTCGATCGTCCGTGAAAGCACGGTTACCGGTAGTGCGCGCGTGTAGAACCGCCATTGTCGAATCGAAGACGAGACAATTCTCTATCGATACGTATCGATGCGTTGCGCGCGCATTTCCCGATCGGTCTACCGTGAGTCGGGCGCGACGCGAGCTCGTCGCGTTTGAGGACGTTCTCCTCTTTGTTTTTCCCTTTCGATCAACCGCCAAAGGTGGCCGGAAGCCATCGTGCGCGCGCGCGCGCCAACGGACCAAAAGTTTGTTTACGTTTTCGGTGACTCGGAAGTATAGCGGAGTACGTCCAAGTGGAAACGGAAAGCAGGAAACGGGCTAGAGGGATACGGAACTGTTGTTAGTAGTAGAGTGTGTGCGAAGGAGACCGGTGTGCGTCGAGAGAGGACGTCCAGCCTGTGTCGTCTGTCTTTCCTTCCACGTCCGACTTCGTCTCGAGATCGATCTACGAAGGTAAGGGAATTCAGACGTAGTTTCGTTACAAACCGAATCGATCCAACAACGATCCAACATATGCATACATACATATATATATACGTATAACGCGTGGCGTTAACGGATCGCGATAAGAGATGGCGGAATCAAAGGACTCGCACGCTTCCGTGATTGGTGACAGTTGGAGGTGGCGGTAAAGTCGAACGCGTTCGAATGACACCTACGCGAATTCGAGCGAGAAACGCGTAGCGCGAGACGCGAAGCGATGATAGCGATTTAACGAAAGCGGCTCGCGATCGAATGTCTTTGGCGGGATTACCTAACGAAATCTTTTCTCCGGGTAAAAGCGAATCTCGCGGAGCGATGGTGGTGGTGGCGGCGATGGTGGCGGTGGTGTTGGTGGTGGTGGTGGTGGTGGCGGTGGTGGTGGTGGTGACGGCTGACTCGGCCGGGGTGAAAATGAGCAACCGGACGGTAATCGCATACGATCAAGGAAGTGATCACGCATTATGGTTCGGTGTACCACGAGATATCGGTTTACATAAAAACGATTAAATTCTATGGTGTATGCTCGGTTTTCTGCGTCACTTTATGGACGCAATTGTAAATAGCGTTTTACGAATCGATACACCTTCCTTTTTCACGCGTCTCCCTTCCTCCTTCTGGTCTCGCAGCGAGCGTAGCGTAGCTCGCGTTACTATTCTATCGATTATATAAAATTATCGTAACCGTCTCTGACGATGCGAGCAAAGATAGCGCGCGCAGGGAACGACTGCTCGTCGTATATACACGCGTCGATCCTTATCTCTACGCGAAACGTATACGTATCGGGCACGATTGAACGAGGGAAACGGAATGGTGGCTGGCGTTTATCGTCGATGAGACGAGAGTCGAACGGGAAGATGGTTCCGTTGGAGAATCGATAGAACGGATCGGTCGATCTTCCGCGATTTCCTACCGCTGCACGCGCCGCTGATCCATGTAAACAGAGAGAAGCGCCGAATACGCGGCTCGCGTATGCACTTGTGCACGTACTCACGCGCGCAGAAATAAGACGCAACTATATTTTGTCCAAGTATTTTCAGCCCAGGCCAACCTTCGGCCCTCGAGCCTCCGTCTCCGTCTTTCTTTTCTTCCCTCGCTCGCCGCCTCTCTTTCCCCATCTCTCCTCCCACCATTCTTCGCTTGGCTTCGACTCAGAACGCTTCGCCACTCTTTAATATAGTTAAGAGATTTATAGTTTGCGCGCGAGTTTCGCGTTCCCTCGTTCGTTCTCTAATTCTCTCTCGCGCGACCGGTTACGCCGCGGTGACCTTCGCTGGTCACCCAGGGCCGAGGGCCAAAATCCTCCGTTGCGCTTAGTATCGTCGCGACCGGGTACACACGTTCGATAAATATCGAGATGCCGGCCGCGGTATAAGGGCCCCGTAGCCTCGCGCCCCATATAAACCAGCGGCCCTGAAGTTCGGTACCACGTGGAGCACTCCGTAACCTCCTCCTTCTCTACCTTCTTCTGCCTTCCACTCCGCCCCGATTCACCGCGTATCTTAATTCCTTCCCTCTTCCGCGGATAACCCGCCATCGACCGGCTACTCCGTTCCTTTTCCTTTCCATTCCGCGAACCGCGTCCTTCCCGCGGACCGAATGATCGATGGCGGTTATTAGCCATCGCGAGTATCGTCTTCGCGGAGATTCCAAGAAATTCGACCTCTTAAGCAGTCGTCTTAATCGCGTTAATCGAATTTTTCCCCTGTCCTCTCTCTCTCTCTCTCTCTCCCCTCCCCTTCGCTCTTTCGCGAAGATACCGCAACGTTCCTCGGCGTCTGCAACGCACTACACACCGTCGATCGGATCGATCCGTTTCTTATTTCCGTAAAGTTTTCGCGTGACAGCAATTACGCGCGTTCGATAAGATCGAAGGCGTACGTAACGTCTGGCTTTCAAGAGCGAGGTCTACATCTGTGTTTACGTTTTCACGCAGCGACGCGCGTTCGTCGTACATATACGCGCGCGACGTCCAAAAATAATGGCCGGCCGCAGCGATGGCGCGTGTCGTTGCGATTACTTTCCACCGGTAAAGGAAAGCAAACCGGCACACCACCACGATCGTCCTCCACCGCTCTCGCATTCCATCCGATTATCGCGCCGCGCGTTTATTCCGCCATTTGCCCGCGCGCGCGCGCGCGCTCGTTCGCTCGCTCGCGATCGAAGGGCAGAGAGGAATGTCGAAATATAGGTCGCCGCGTTCCTGCACCTGTCCCGACCCCGATCACGCCGGCGAACCTCTCGGAGTCGTTTCCACGTACGCGCGTATTCCCGCTGCCCTCCTCTCGAACCCTAGCTTAAGGACAAGGAGATTCGAAGACCCGAAGGTGACACCGCGAAGGTGGCCGGGTAAAAGTAAATGACCTTAGGCAGAGAGACGAAGCTGAAGAGAGAAAAAAGGAATCGCTCGGACGTGTGACCTATCGTCCGTCTAGGTCTACGAACTCCAATTGGGCCAGAGCCTTGACTCTCCCGTGTATATCGGCAAGTTCGGAGAGCGAGCCCCACCCATGGGCCCACTCCTTCCACGGACCCCCTCCTCGTTTTCCGAATATCCGCCCCTGCTTCGTTCATACGTACCAACGACCTTCGAGACACTCGCGAGCAGGCCGTAGCCCGTAGATCGCGGACCTAACCTTTCTCGAGCTTGGACCCTCGTGCCCTGTTCTCCCGACGTAACACCCGCCGACGATCGTCACCTCGCGTGTAATAGGCAGTCCCCGGGGAGACCGTGAAGAGACCCGGGAAGAGACCACCAAGGGACCATGAAAAACACGGTCATGGCCAAGGTTGTGTCACAAGAAACCTATGCGAGAAATCGGAAATTCTCCGACGTTTGTTCGCGCCGCGCTCCAAAGTCGTCGCGTCGATGATCCACCTAAGTGGCCACTGGTAGATCAATCGAACGAGGAGGAGCTGGCTCCTGGGGACTTTGCTCGCAACGCGAATCGAGAGAAGCGTTCTTACGTATGCAGCTGGATAACAGGCACGGTCGTTCTCGCAAAAGGAACGATCGGTTCCTCGGTTTGATAAACATTCGGTTTATATTGTTGCTTCAGGCGTCCAATTAAGAAACGGTATTCTGGTGATGTCTTGGGCGCGCGGGTTATTTCGTTGCCGCGCAACTGCTATGAAACAAGAATAATGCTGAATCAAATGTTATTGTTGCGCCGATTAAACAATTACTCTTCGGCTGAGTTTAGCTCACCTTGGAACGGTTTACCTTCAAAACAGCGGAATGCACGATTAAGTACATGCCCGTTAAAACCGAGTGGCTTGCATTATTGCGGGCCGCGCGCGCGACTTTTACAAGGCGCAGAGAAAACAACGTTTCGTCGACTGGATGAAACGGCGTGTGCGACGTGTACGGGAAAACGATCGATGCTCGATCGACGGACGGCGTTACGTCGATAAACCGCGGTGCGTCTCGCGGCGAAGGACGCGCGAAGGTAAATCGAGGATGGCGGGAACTCTGCCGGCGAGAGAGACGAAATTCGTGAATAGGATGGTTAGACGAGATCGTCCCTTAGCACGTGGACGACTATCGCGGCACGTGGAGTTCGTTATCTCGCGAGCTGTATGCAGAAAGAACGTCTTGTTTGTTCAGAGCCGCTTTGTTTGCGGTCCCGCGCCGCGCGATTTTATTTCCCGCCATTCATTATGCAATCCGCGAACCGAAATTATTTTCGTCCCGAAGAATCTTGCCAAAACGGTATAGAAAGCTGCACGCACGTACACACCGGTCGACAATATCCCGACCGGCAGGAATTATTCCCTGGCCATAGGTGTACGACAACCCCCGCGATACGCCCCGCGTCACGGTTAATGGCGGTCGCTGCTCATTCATGGTAGCGGGAAAGCGCGGAAAGTAACAGTTATTAACGCGCGACTAGAGTCCGGGTCAACGTCTAAATAACCGAAGGTGGAAATAGACTGTCGGGAGGCGTGCATGGAATTCTAGCAGGCGATTCTGCCGCGAAGTGATGTCACAGCTTGTCCATCGGTGAGAGATCGTTTAACTTGGCACTCTCAGCCCTAGCTGTGGCGCTACCGCCACGACGACGACGGCTCTCGCAGCGCAATAAAAGCGGAAGGCTGTGTGAGCTCGGAAGGCCGCTCGCAGTCGCCGCTATCTATACCCTGTTCGACATAACTTCCCGCGATTCTTTTACCACTACCATTCTTCTTTCCCTTTCCTTGCGGCTGTTCGTAGTCTATTCACGATCAGGATCGCGTACGGCGACGTGACTCGATATCGGACGTCCAACTGACCGTTTTTCGTATGCGTAATGTCCTCCCCATCCTCCTGCCGTTGCCCCCCGCCCCCCTCCCCACCGACGCTCTCGCCGCCACTGCGGGGATCGGGATCGGGATCGGTCGATCGGGGCCCGATTCGAAATTCGAGCACGCGAAACCTCGCGATGGAATCGTTCCGGATGATCTTTGAGTTAAACCGGTTTCACGGTGCAGAGAGAACGGGTAACGCGTAAAGGCAACAAAGTATCGAGAGCCCGTAATGAAAAAGTTAGATCGAAAGGCGGCTGGCTATTTTTAAGCATAACTGGCACCGGCATCGTTTCGTCGTTTACGAGTCCTATCTATTTCCGTTATAAATATGCGTGCTCCCCCCCGCGACCCCCCCGATCCGCGTGTTCATCGTTGCCCTTAGTACCTCGTAATTTCCTCGCAGGCTCGTTCCGTGGCCGCTCCTCGATCCTCCAACAACGATACCGCTAATGAAACGCTAGTTACGGAACGCTAATATTCCTTCGCCGTCACAGATAGACACAACGTGCCACGCACTTGCTCGTAAAACGTCCGATCCGATTATGCATAAAATAACCAAGACTCCGTATCCAGCCTCCGAGTGCACCGCTCCACGATGCCGGAGGACGCGGAGCTTAGCGATCGGCCGATATTTGCGCATCTTTACGCACCTTTACGCATCTTTACGCATCTTTGGCTCGATCTTCGCACCGATATTTGGGCCCATCGAGGGTCGCGAATGACCGATATCGCTCACTAGCGACGCGTCGCGGGAAAAATACCGGTCCCCGGTCACGGTTGTCGTGGAAGCAACGGTAAACACCGCGGCGACCATTGGCGCCACTCGCGAGCTTCCTTCCGCTGCAGCGATAATCGTGAGCGACTCGCAGATAAAATTTCAAACTCGCGCGCGCGAACGCTGCTGTCGTTGGGAATAAAAATAAATCGTTATGCCATCTCGTGGCAGCGATTCGATGATCGCGACGCGATTGACGTGAACGACCTTCTCTGCCGGACTGGCCGAACGTCCGAGCGGATTTCCAAAAGCCACGGGAAGAAAGGCTCGTTGGAATTCGAAGATTGATCGAAGCACCCAATCGCGTTCCTGGCCGATTGTTGGCCAGTCAACCGGTGACGGCGTTTCGCGCGTGGAATTGTCAGCCCGTTGTTCGAGCGAGCGCGGATTATAAAACGTGTCTTTTATAGATGGTCCCGGGATGATCGAGGTCCATCGAGCGCGTTGAAGAGTGTCCGTCGCCTTCGAGGAAGTTGTCCGGCTTGCCAATAACCGTTAAACTCGCGCTGGAACTCGAACGACATACGCGTGTGCTCGTAAACGATAATCGAACTGAAAGTTTCGGTGGCTTTTACGGGGCAACGTCGTTGCACGGTGCACCGTGAGAAAGCTGCGCGTGGATCACCATCTCGGACGTGTCATCGGCGAGTCGCCGAAATGCCAGGATCCACGCGCGATTCTCAGCTTCTTTCCGAAAGCCCAGCGAAGATCCCCGGGGGACACGGGTAAATTCAGGGAAAGAAGGATCGATGGATGGATGGATGATGGATCGATGCACGAGAGACGAGAGGTGGCTAGCGAGTGGATAGAAATGGGCGTCGAGCAAAGTGCTGCAGGTCTTTACGATCCGTTTGCCCTCGAGTTGGTTTCTATGTAACGTAGAAATCGCCGAGAGCAGGCTCGCAGCTCCAAAAAAGCACGTCGAATCAAGGAAGGAGAGAAACGATCGGCTGACGGGGAGACAGAGATCTTTGCCTTGCCCGGGGCACAAATCAAGGCCCTTCTTTGCTCTCGAAGGCCCCACATGACTCAACCTTATTATTATTGTTAGTTTTACACCGACACCGTCGGCCGTTCTCGCGTGACGTTCACCAACACTCTCGTCCATCTCGGTCCCGCGCGCACTCTGCTCGCTGTGTGCTTCTCGCTCGTGTGTGCCACGTACGCGTGTATACCGCGTAGAGAATGCGCGTGGCCGCTGTGTCGGTGCGTACGAGCCTCGACTAGGAAGTGCAAATCACGAGCTAACAGAGTATTCGCGGCAAACTCAACATTCCCACCTCGTCAGGGACGCTTAAGAGGTTATTTTCAACGCTTCGCCCCGCGGATCGGACACGTGTGCGCGATTCTCTTCGCGTGCAGATGGCCACGAGATGGCCCACGCGGTTTCCAACGAGCGCGCCAATCGGTCCCCTATCTGCGCTCCAAAGCTTCGATTCCGTTTCGATACAATTCTACACGCTGGTTGACTTTGGCCCGAGTCTCCGTCGTCAGTGACGAGAGTTCGTAGGTTGGTATCTCGTGGCCTGGAGATGGGTCGAGACCTCGCGAAATTTCGCGGGTTTCGACAATTTTCGAGTTACGTCCAACCGTGGACTCGTTGTTGGGCGATTTCTAATTCGGTATGGCGGATAAACGCGGCAAACCGGAGTGTGCGAGAAGCCGAGTGGAAAATAGACGCGATTCGGAGTCAGAGGCGAAGAGACACGCGTTTCGCGGAACCGTGATCTAGCGTTATAGATAGATCGGTATAGAGAGTGTAGCGTGTAGTAAATGCACGCGTAGGTAAAGACGATTTAAGAATGAAACTCTCGGTTGGTTCATAGTACGCGGTAATCTGCTATTCCCCTGCTGATTATCGTTTAAATTCGAGGACGGAGCGCGATGCGGAATTTTCCGCGAGGTCTCCCGTTTCGTTTGATTTTGCCACGCGACCTCGCTTTGTTTATAGACTACAGGCCGTTTTGCAATATCGTTTAAAACGCTCGAGTATCGACACGGTGGTTTTTCGGGTAAATATTTTGGAAACGGCGATGCCGGTCGCGTCGCCGATCCGCTTGCGAAATCGGCGCGCCGGTGGACTGGATCGCGGCGCGATACGAATCGGCGCGTCGCGACGACTCCTCGCGTGCGAAACTATGCCAAGAGGAGAGAAACGCGAACTCGTCGGGACGATGGCGGATCGGCACACGGGGCTGGCGCGTAAAACCGTGGCGAATTTCGAAAGCGAGGCGACCCTCGATCGAAATCGATGCCCCTGAGCAGCGCGAATCCACGATCGAGCGGGTCCGATCGGACGGAAGATTCCGCGTGAAAATTTATCCGGTGGGTCGCCGTTATCGCGACTCGTCTCTCGCCGGATCGTACGCCGGTGGTAGCATAAAACCCGATACCTGCACGGTATCGATGCGTGTGTGTCTGTCTTTCTTTCAGTCTTCTATCACGTTCGCGCATTCATAAAACCGTCGGCCCTCGTGGACCGGCCTCGAGAGTTTCTACGATCGTCATTACGCCTCCAAGGCGTTCGCTTGTCGGCCCTGGACCGTCGTATACCTCTATACTCTATCGTCTAGCGCGAACGAGCGAGACAGATTGATAGAGACGAGAGATAAACTATTCTCTCTACCGAGCGTGTGGCGTGCACACACGTATACGAAACTGTAGCCAAGTACATCCAATTATCGCTCGTAGACAATGAGTTCCAAGGTTTCGCGTCCACACGAATCTCGATGACCGTCGTCCGTGCATTTTTCCCTCGCGTATCTCCGCGAGTCGGAGCCTGTACGTGTACACACGCAACGCTCGGCCAGACAAAACCGTGCAAAACGAAAAGCATCGAGCATCCAGCGCGGATCATCTCGCGGCGAGCAATTCCGCGCGGAGGAAAGTGGATGGCGCGGCGACAGCTGGGGCCCCTGCAACGATCGCTCGCGGATGGGACGCGCGACGACGTCCATCGGGCCTGGTGCGTTACGCGAAACGCAACGCGTCTTCCGCTGCCGCAATTATCGACCGTAGCGACGATTCCGTAAACACGGCGCGCTCGGCGCGCCCGGTGCGTCCGACGACGCCAAGATTCCCGCGCTTCTCCAGGGCCCCGGCTAAGGTTATGGCTTGCTCTAGGAGTGCATTAACCCCCGTCGGCTCGAGAGCACACCGTAGAAGAAGTGCACAAGTGGCGTGAAGGGGAACGGAGAGAAGAACCGACTTCTCTCTCCGCTCGGTAGTTCTCTCTCCTCGTTCCACGTCAGACTCGCGGTCTCTCTATCGTGCTTACGGCAGCGAAGCTAGGAGTCGTGCTCGCCTTGCCGAGCGCGATGCAAGCGCTTTTGCGAAGTCAGGGGCGGCCTAGGAAGGGCCGTGAGGGGGGGGAGCGAGGGGGGAGTTAACGGGAGGCAGAAGGTGGTGGTCAGGCGGCGTTCTCGCGA